TGTGAGCTGTGATGCCATGGCACTCTACCCAGGGTGACAGCTTGAGGCTCTGTCACAAAAAAGAAAAAATTTTTTTTAGATATGTCTAAGTGCTGGTAGAAAATACAAGGAAGAATGAGAAAAGACATACTCATTTCTTTAAAAAATTATTTTTTACAGAGTCTATTATTTATTTATTTTTTACAGACTCTATTTAATTTACAGAGTCTTCCTGTGTTGCCCTGGGTCAAAGTGCAGTGGTGTGATCATCACTCACTGCAACCGCAAAGTCCTAAGCTCAAACAATTCTGCCTCAGTCTCCCATGTAGCTGAGACTACAGGCATGCATCACCACACCAGGCTAATTTTTTATTTTTAGTAGAGACTGGTCTAACTCTTGCTCGAGTTAGTCTTCAACTTCTGACCTTAAGTGATCCTCTGGCATTGGCCTCCCAGAGTTCTAGGATTACAGGCATGAGTCACTGAGCCCAGCCAATACCCATTTCTTTAAAGGTGCTTCCAGTGATTGTATTACTGCAGAAAATGAAGATTGTATACAAAGGACCGTGGACTTCTAGAAGAAGCAAAGGGAGAAGAGGGCCAGGATTTTTTGGAAGAGCTAGGGAAGATGGTGACAGAGCTATGTGTTAGATGATAGGTAGAAACCCCTGAGTAGGGAACATAAAAGCCAATTTGATTTTTTTTTTTTTTTGAGATAGAATCTCAGTATGTCGCCCTTGGTTGAGTGCTATGGCATCACAGCTCACAGCAACCTCAAACTCTTGGGCTTAAGCGATTCTTTTGCCTCAGCCTCCCAAGTAGCTGGGACTACAGGCACCCACCACAATGCCTGGCTATTTTTGTTGTTGTAGTGGCAGTTGTCATTGTTGTTTTAGCTGGCCTGGGCTGGGTTTGAACCCACCAGCCTCGGTACATGTGGCTGGTGCCCTACCCACTGATCCGTGGGCGTGGCCAGTCAGTTTGATTCTTTTCAATTAGTAATAATTGCACCTGGAATATACTTCATTGGCTAGGATACTGCCACTGCACAAAGCTAGTCAGTTTGATTCTTTTTTTTTTTTTTTTTTGAGACAGAGCCTCAAGCTGTCCCCCTGGGTAGAGTGCCATGGCATTACAGCTCATAGCAACCTCCAACTCCTGG